AAGGGTTTTCTGCAGCGAGAGAGACTCTGCTGGAACTGCCTTAAGTATGGCCATATGGCCAGAGAATGTCGGTCAGGCTCGAGATGCACGAAATGCCAGAGGAAACACCACCTGCTAATACATGATGTGTTGGATAGAGCAGGTAACAGCCGGGAGAAACCGACTGAGATAGTTACGGAGAAGAATGTTGGGTCGTGCTGTCTACACTCAACAAAGTGTGCGGCTGATGACCGGAGTGGCACGAGTTGAGGGAAGAACTCGAAACGCGAAGGTTCGCGTGTTCCTGGACTCGGGTGCTGAGGCGTCATTCGTGACTGCAGCGTTGGTGTCAGCAATCGATGCAGAACACGTTGGGGTTGGAAATGTAGAGGTAAAGCCGTTCGGCGCGGAACCAACCCAACAGCGCATGGATAAGTACGCCATCACGATCCAGGGTAGCTCCGCTAGCATTCGGGTACGCGCGTTCGTGAAACCAACGCTTGAGCTGGACCTGAAGTGCGCAAGTCCGCAGACCATTGCGCAGTGGCACAGTTGGGGAGTAGAGCTGAGTGACAAGCCTCAACAAGGGACATCAGACGAAATACATATTGGTGCAGACTATATCAACGCGGTACTGCACAGCAAGAAGGAAGTTAATGGTGAGACGGTGTGGAACACAGAGATAGGTAATGTATTATCTGGTCCAGCGTCTGCACCAAGTCGAAACAGTCAGCCGGTGACCGTGTCATGTGTCACAGCCCACATTGAACAACTATGGCAGTTGGATGAGCCTCCAGAACAACATCAGCACCTGCCATCGTTCCCGCTATGTCGCCAGGGCAGCGGGTACCAAGTGGGTCTCTTGTGGCGAAATGAGCGTCGCCCAACGGATAACTTTGCTCAAGCTAGAGTCATTGCAAGGCGGCTTCTTGAAAAGCTGAAGAGGAATGGGAAGCGTGCGCTCTATGATGATGTGCTGATCAGGGAGTACCGCGAGCTTGGAGCAATTGAGCTGAAGCCATGTGAGAGCGATGCCGGGTACTATGTACCGCATCACGGTGTATTCCGCGAGCACGCTGCAACCACGAAGTTAAGAGTGGTGTTCAATGCCTCGGCGACGGCTCCAGATGGCAAGTCGTTGAACGACATGGTTGACCCTGGACCGTCGCTATTGCCGAGTCTCGCAGGTATGCTATTACGGTTCCGTGAATATAAGAGCGCGCTGCAAGCGGACATCCGCAAGGCTTTCTTCATGGTCGCGGTTAATCCCGAAGACCGTCCGTACCTGCGTTTCTTGTGGCCCGGTCGAAGCGACAGCGATGAACTGTTAACCCGGAGGCTAACGAAACTGCCATTTGGCGTAAACTGCTCGCCGTACATGCTTACTGCGGTGATTCAGCATCACTTGAAGGAGCTACGGGCGTTGTCTGCACCCAAAGAGCGAGATCGTATTGATCTCTTGCTCACGAGTTTCTACGTTGACGATTTGGTCTCTAGTGTCTCAAATGCCTCGGAAGCCAAGGAGATGCAAGAGTTCAGCGTGCGTGTGCTTACGGATGCTGGCATGGAGTTACGCAAGTGGCGAGGCAACGAAATCCCGTGCGATCCAGAGGCCGGAGATAAAGTCCTCGGTCTGAAATGGAAAACCAGTGATGACTTGCTCAGCATAGCAGCGCTAGGCGAGTCCGATAGGCCGTCTGTTTGGACCCGGCGATCCCTCCTCAAGTGTGTTGCATCAGTGTTTGATCCGCTAGGTCTAGCAGCACCGGCAGTTGTGCCGGGAAAGATACTGCTACAGCAAGCCTGGAAAGTCGGAGGCGACTGGGATGATATGTTGCCTGATGGCATCGCAGCCGCATGTGCGCAATGGTGGGGAGAGTTGGCCGAAGTGGTGAGCATTGACATACCACGTTGGATTTGCTGCAATCTTGACACGCCGATTGCGCTTCATGCCTTCGCCGATGCCAGTGAGAAAGCGTTTGGATGTTGTTTGTATGCAGTCGTCAATGGACAGTCGCACTTGGTATTTGCCAAGGCCAAAGTGGCACCTGTGTCTCCGCCCCCGTTAGCCCGCCTTGAGTTACAAGCAGTATGTCTAGCGGCTCGCTACGCTGAGTTTGTGGTGAAGGAGCTGCGTGTGACCGTCACGCAAGTCTATGGCTGGACTGACAGTCTCACTACCGTTCATTGGATCAGTAATCCATCGTACAAATGGAAAACATGTGTGGCTAACCGCGTCAGTCAAGTCCAAGAGATATCGAAGAAGGTCGGCATTGTGTGGAACCATTGCCCGGGCCTTCACAACCCAGCAGATTTACCGTCGCGTGGGAGTAGTGCACAGCAGATCCGTAGTCCGTTCTGGAGGGGCGGACCAACCTGGATCACGGAGCCCAATGACTGGCCCACCGCATCCTCAACCGCAGCTACAGATGAGTCCAGTGTAGAAGTACGAGTGTCAGCCACCACCTGTAGTCGAGAATCTGATAAGGAATGGTGGCTCCGATTCAGTAAATGGTCGAGGGCACAGGGCATGGTGACTCGGATGGGTTGGTTGGTTGGTTGTGTTTATTTAAATTCGCAAACCGAACGGACTGAACATGTCCAATGACAAGGAAGCGAATGAAGTCCAAATAACCCAGGAATGGGGACAGAGATGAAAATAAAATAATGGGTGTTGCAGTGGAAGCACACTGAGCCTCGTGCTGAACTCTATTTTGCAGCAGACAACGTATTGTACCGCATCGTTCAAGCCGCATGTTTCGCTGAGGATCTTGAGCTGATCAAGCAAGGTCAACCAGTGAAGCCCGGGTCGAAGGTGTATCAGCTTGCACCGTTTCTGGATGAGCATGGAGTGCTCAGAGCCGGGGAACGACTTCAGCACAGCGAGTTGGCGTATGGAGCCAAGCACCCAGTCCTGTTAGGCAAACATAATCTGACCGAGTTGCTGTTGGAGAAAAAGCATGTTGAAAGGATGCACCAAGGTGTAGAAGGAGTCTTGTCGTTCATCCGTCAGAAATTCTGGATTATCGGTGGTCAACGAGCGCTACGCAACATTACTCAGCGATGTGTTACATGCCGCCGCTACAAGGCTAAGGCTGCCTCAGAAGTCTGCCCGCCGCTGCCAGAAGACCGAGTTGTTCACGAGAGGCCGTTCGCAACTACCGGCATCGACTATGCTGATCCGTTGTACGTGCGCCGTGGTGAGTCATCTCCGAAGGTATGGATAGCATTGTTTGTGTGTGCCACCACCAGAGCAGTTCACTTGGAGGTGGTCGATAGTTTAAGTACCGAGTCATTCTTGATGGCATTTCGGAAGTTTATCGCGAGACGTAGTTTGCCGTCTTGGATCAGGTCTGACAACGCTACAACGTTCAAGGCGGCATCTGACAAACTGAGTGTGCCATGGATGTTCAATCCTCCAGCTGCACCATGGCATGGAGGCTTCTATGAGCGAATGGTTGGTACAGTGAAGAGTGCCTTGAAAAAGGTAATGGGAACAGCGTTTCTGAAGGTCCAGGAGCTTGAGACCCTCTTGTATGAGGTTGAAGCAGTGGTGAATAGTCGTCAGCTAACTTATGTGTCTGATAGCCTGGATGAGCCACCAGTAACCCCTGCAATGATGATGGGTAACATCTGGATGTCGTCAGAGAAGCCAGCAGGTACCCTGGACGCTGCGCAGATGTCATCGAGATTGCGTTACCTCAGTCGGACACTGGAGCATGTCAAGAATCGTTGGGAGGTGGAGTACATAAGTCAGCTGAACAAGCACCAACAGACCATGTCGCGCCCTTTAGCTATGGGTGATGTTGTCTTTGTTCTCGATGATACCAAGCGCAAACAGTTCTGGCGTTTGGGACGGATCATCGAGTTATTCCCTGGTCGAGATGGTAAGCGTTGTGTTGCCAAGGGTAAGTTGAGTACCAGTACCCTGTTGAGGCCGATCCAAAGGTTAGTGCCATTAGAAGTATCGTCACAGGACGTGGCCCCTGGGCTTGCCGATACCGCTCAACCTGCTATCGTCCCTCAGCAGCCAGCGTATGAACCGTCAGCACCGTTACCACCACCACGGCAGCAGGAGATGACGCGTTCTGGGCGCGTAGTCAGAGCCCCGGATCGTTTTTGACTTGTGTGCATTGTTGTACGGCGGTGAGAAGCCCTTTGGTGGGGAGAATGTTGTTAACCACCAGTTCTCAATTGGGAAAGGCCTTCGCGCTTATGGCATTGTATTCGTTGAAATGTTGTATTTCGACTCCGCCGTACCGCAGATGTTGCTGCATGGCATACGCTATATGCGTTGTGTGCGCTTTGCTGTATACGCTGTTATGTCCAGTTTTATATGCTTATGTTTTCCATGTACGCTGTTTTTGCATGCTATAAATAGCTGGTGTTATTAGTGTTCATTGTTAATTATTCGATGAAGTGAAATATACTGTCTAAAGGAAAAGAGTTGTCCTCGTGCCGTGTGGTCGTACGATCCTGACAATTTAGAGAATCTTAGAGGGTTCACAACAGACCTCTTTAATCGTGCAATACTAGATACTTATACCTCACTTCATATACACCCACACTCATGTACCAGATCTCCCATGAAGTTTATAAATTTCCATATACAATGTACACTGTTCAATATACACCACTAAGGAGGTATATACACCACTGACGAAAACCATCAGAAAAAAACTCACTGAGGAGCTTTCTTTCTCTAAAAAGGAGTGTATATAGCTTTCTTTCTAAAGCTATATACACTTCTTTTTAGGGAAAGAAAGCTATATACACTCCTTTTTAGAGAAAGAAAGCTATATTCACTCCTTTTTGCTCTTGAGCTTGCGCATGGAGAGGTATAAATATATTATAACAAGGGACCTCGTGTATATCGAGAAATATCGACCAGTTATAAAAACCTCGGCTTCACCTCGGTTTTTATACTGGTCTATATTTCTCGATATACACTCGGTCCCTTGGTATAATATATACTTATACCTCACTCCATATACACCCACACTCATATACCAGATCTCCCATGAAGTTTATAAATTTCCATATACACTATATATTCACCACTTATGTAGATGGCCAATTGTATGTGGGTGAATATGGATTGAGGTATAATTATACAAGTATCATACTAATTGTAAAGAATCACTAAGTGCTCACTGTTCGCTGCGATTGAAAAATCAGAGTGTTCAGTGCAAAGCAATGTACTAGTTGATGCAGTAAAAGTACTTCGAAGTAGCAGTGCAAACTAATCGCCTTGGCAAAGTGCGTCTACGCTTCGGGAAAGAAGACCAAAATCATATGGATCAATGATGGGTATTGGATCAGGGATAGGCACGGGGGCAGGTATAACTGAAGCAGCTTGGTCCGGAAAACAGCCAGTACACACCTGCAGGGACAAACATCAGAAAAACAGAACTGAATAGCGAATAAGTAGTTTACCAGGAACACCCACCATCGCTTAAAGTAGCTTTACTGAGGTTGATTAGTCGGGGGCGGTTTTATTAGTTCCTTGTTTGGGTTATGCGGCCTCACATGTCAATTGAAGCCGAAGGAAAGTGCATCGATTTTTCAAGTAGGGTCCAGAAGAAAGACAATTTGATATTGGTTCGAATGGCATATCTCTCGCTTGCGTACGATAAACCAAACTTGCCAAACAGCAATTGTATGGTCGGGTTGCCATAGGGACCAGCGCAGTGATGATGCACGGTATGTTTAGCTCCGTGAGAGAGATGGTCGATCACTGCAGAGTTTGGTCATTTTCTTGTATTCAAGAAGTGAAAGAAGTACTGAGTTCAATTCGGTTAGTGCCATGAACTGTTCATCGGCCTTCGCCTGCATTATACTAGGCTGCCTGTAGCCTATGAAATGGTTCTTCTAGGAGAAGATACTTGGTATTCACCATCTCTCCTGAGACTTTTTCAGCTAACTTTCAAAAAAGTACGACACTATTTGTCCCAATATCTGAGAAAATCGACCTTCGGGGCTGTTTTGGTAAAATTGAATTGTTTTATTGCAAACTGATGTATAGAAGAGACTGGTGTTCACGAGGTGTTTGTCGCACTGGAAACGGAGAGTCGCTGTAAGTTTGTATCCCTGTTGATGTTTGTGCTTGGAGAGCACTATATAAGTGGTGCTCTTCAAGCACAATCTTCCTCAGCCTACTCAAGCTCAACTGATGAGGGGTGAATTCCCCGAAACACTGTGTATTGAGCAAGGAGTTGTGCTTTCTTGCAGGTTTGCGGAGTGGACGGTTCGATGGACTTCTCGTGTGCTCCGGATGGCAGTCGTGAGTCCGTCAAGTGAGAATTAAAGTCGGCAGGAAAACCACGAGCTCCCATATAGGGAGCAACACACACTTCGGAAGTTCCCAAACTGATGTATAGCCTTTATAGAGTATTGTGACTTCAATTCACAGCCATTAGACCAATATTGACCCTGTAGGAATGCATTTTATGGTCAGGAGTCATGTTAATGAATTGTTCATTTTTACAATGGTTTTGAAAGATCTGTGTGTTTGGTGTTGTTGTTGTTTGGCTTTATTTGGTGCCACCAAAAATTGCTTCCATGTGATATCAATAGCCAACTGCTAGTATAGTAGAGTGTTCTGACCGTTCAGGTACTTCATTTCCAGCATTCACTTTATTGGGGTTGTGTAATTGCAACAACAGCAATACCAGCATTAGAAGGAGAGTTGATTGATCTGTTCTCCTTGTGAGGGACTGTGATGATAATGGAAACATATCATTTGGTGCCATTAAATACCCCATGGAACTACCGGTATAACTTTCACATCCTCATATTTACACCTGTCCATATAATTATGACATTAGAATTGCATGCTGCGTACTACTTCCCATACTACCGGTACCTTTTCTACTTCCTCCGGAAACAAAAACTTCGTGACTGTTTTTACATGACTTTACAAGGAGTTACTGTGCTCAACAGAAGTGTTAACATGTTCTTTTGGAGGAGAGACACTTCAACACATTCAATCGACATAATTATCTACAATATCTACAGGATCGATTAGTGGGAGTAGAGTCTCAATCTGGGTCGCCATCGGTCGACTCACAACGGCTGAAACCGTTCCAAGTGGCAGGTCGATCGACGCGATGTCGTATGTCGCGGAGAAGCTTCTCCGCGTTCCTGATCGTCTTCACTGTTACCTGAATGCTTTCTCCAACATCTCGGCGGAGATCATGGTAGCGCTGCAGCACTGGTACTCATTACCGCCTCCGCTCTCGCTCGAGGACAAACACAGGCAGAGCCAAACATTTCAAACTTCCTCCGAGGGATATCATAGTCGTGCCAGCATTTTCCGACTGCCCCGATCAGATCTCGCCTGTTCTCTTTTGCGACCAAGAACACATCATCGAGGCCGCTGGAAAAGGCGACATCATCCGCGTTGAGGTCTGGGCTCTGCAGTGGCTGAACGTTGACTTCTTGTTTTGTATTTTGTATTTTATTATATTTAATAAGGATTTCTCAAAGGCTTTGGGCCTGTCGAGGGGACCTCCTGCAAGAATGATGAAATGACAACTTGATGTAGAGGGAGCAGTTAATCGAGGATAGGCTAAGGAAATTGATTGAGGCACACAAAATCTGGTAATTAAGGAGTTGGGATACCGTCAGTGTAATGAATATATCGGCGAAAATGCTGGTAGAGAGAATGCTTGAATTCGGGGAGGCTGGTTATAGAGGGAAGAGAAGGCGGTAGGCAATTCCATAGCATTGCAGCTTTGTTGGAAAAGAGGGAAGAAAAACGCACACCGTGATAATTGATGTTAAGTTTGTTTGGTCTTCTTGGACTTGAAGACAGTGATTGGTGAAAATGTTGGAGGTGTTCTGGAGATATAAGGATAAGTTTAAATAGAGTAACAAGAGCTGATACTTGTCTGCGAAAGTGCAAGGACTCTAAGTCACAAAGGGCATTTAACTGGGATTTCGTTTCGCATCTATCTACATTGACTTTTTTACGTAGCAAATACTTCCTAGCTACGCTGGCTTGTAAAATATTGAAACGCTCCAGCTCAGCTTTGGTGATGGCATAGGACCAGGCCGAGGTGGCGTATTCCAGGGCGGGTCTGACAACACCTTTATATAGAAGTAGAAAGGCTGTGGGGGCAAGATGCCGCCCCATGAAGCACAGCAGATTAACACGACGTTGGAAGGTTTTCAGGACGGTCTGAAGGTGGATGGTGTTGGACTGGTCGGGGCTGCCTACCCATAAATTTCATATGGCATTCAATTGACCGTAACTTTGGTATTTCTCAATGGATTTGAGTGAAATTTTGACCACACACTCCTGCCACTATGCTGGCCCTCAGGACATGATTTCAAAGTTATTGCGCCTCACTGACAGGCTTTCCAGGCCGGTAAAACTCAAATTTCCGGCATAGTGCCACGGTGTGCGAGCCACCCAGGAGCCAAACAAATGCATTTACAATTTCTTCCATTTTCGTGCTCATTCTGTTCGTGCGCGGGACTCAAACCTAGAACAAGTCCAGAAGCAGCCATGGGTGATGGGGTAGGGCCCCTCAACGAGGCCCTGGAATCTGTCACAACGGAACGAGTGGGCGTTCTCTCACACACTCACACAGACCCAAGTCAATTTTTGATTTCTTTTAGGTTTAGCACGTGATACGAGGTCGTACCTTTGATACAACATCCAGTGCTGGGACCTCCACAGCAAGCCATTTCCACAGCGCTGCACACCACATCCAGGATACCCTCAGAAACCGGCAAAGACTACCACTCACGTTTCACTACTGCCTAGTACTGAATCCTACCTGACTTCTTGACACGACTCAAACTTGCCAAAGTCACTAAATCAACGTCAACTACAATAATCAAGCCACATATCTGCAACGTCACGAGGGTGCTGGCAAAAGTCCTGCTGCACAGCGGCGAGCTTCGCCCGCCGCCGTGCAGCCCAATACGTGGCTCAAAAACCTGATTTTTTGGACTTGGAGCAATATTCTGCACACTTTCACGTGTTTCCATGATACGACAAGTTGCGCACGGTCTGCTCACATTCAAATACAGTGCTGCCAACAAATGACAGCGTGCAACAAAAAAAACTTTACTTGCAAGGGCACATTTTCGACCATAACTCTTGAACGGCCGGTCAGATCGGGACACAATTTTCAGAGAATTTGCAGCTATTCATGCTCTTGCAACTCACAGTTTCATGCTCCAATGCTTCCTTTGTAGCACTGATGTGTGCTGCGATTAATCAATGGCATTTCCAGATTGCTTGCTACACTATCACATACTCTCTTTAGCTGTTTTGCTGCCTGCTGCTTGTTTCCCTCAATAGACACCAGCTGAAGCTTCCTAGCTGGCCCCCTTGCCAGAGCCCATGTTAGATTCTGTATAAGTTCTCCAGTTTGTATCTCATACGTTGTTGATTGAGTAGAGGCCTTGCTAGAGAACAGTTAAGTTTTGCTCTATGTTCATCTCTAGTTTTGTTTAGAGTTCAAACAGCTCAGATCTCTGTGTGCAGACTGTGTGTGAGAACGGGGAACTAGTATTTGTAAAGGGTCGGGCTTGCGCCTTCCGAACAGTCGTGAGAGAAGCAGAGTGAAAGATAACGTCACATTGTGGTAAGGGGGGGGGGGGGGAGGGAGGATGATAGTGAGGCGCTGGTCTGAACTGTTTCATAGGGCGTCGGTGGCTGCTTGCCAGTTCAGGTGCAGCAGATACATGTTGCATTTTTCCTTAAAGGATTGGAGCTGTCTGGGTTGCGGCCGTGCTGGTAGAATCGTCGCTGGAAGGCTGTTCCACAAGGGAATAATGCAGGCTGGGGAGGAACCCTGGAGGCTGCTACGAATGCGCATGGGCAGCGTCGACTCAAGCTGGGGCGGGTGGCAGTGGGCAGTTTCCGTGGCTAGCCTGCGGGATCGACCACACACTGGGCGGGGGTTGGCTGGAGGTGGGAGGATGGTCATCAGGGGGCTTGTTGTTGGAAGGTAAGACAGCTTGAACATGAACGAAAGTGCAGCAACCAGTCGGCGGTGTTTCAGGCTGGGGAGCCAGGCGCCTGCGCCGATCACCTTCAGTGCCTTGTGCTGGACTTTGTCCAGCCTGGATGTGCATGACCCCATCCACACCAGGCAGCAGTATTCCATTGTTGACCGCACGAAGCCTTGGTAGACTGCCGTGCGGCTGCTAGAGTCCAACAGGGTTGCAACCTTTCTCAGGAATTAAGTGTAGACGTTGGGCAGCCTTTGAGGCCACGGCCCAAAGGTGTGCTGAGTTGCGAGTCGAATGCTATGCTGAGAAGTTTAATTTCCTTCTCGTCAAGAACAGTCACTCCATGGAAGGGCACTGGTGGGAGCGCTGGGGGACGCTTGCGGTGGTCGATGATGAGGGCCTGAGATTCGGATGGCTCGAATGGTGACCTTCCACTTGGAACCCCAGTGGGAGATGGCGTCCACTACTTCCTGGAGTTGTGCTGCAGAGTTGGATATGCTGGCGGTGGCAGAGATGCACTGATACTGTGTCGTATCATCTGCATAGGCGGCAAGCTCAGCACCAGCAGGCAAGGTGTCCTTGCAGTCATTTGCGTACAGGAGGAATACCGTAGGTCCAAGGATGCTACCTTGTGGTACCCCTGCTTGGATATGGTGCAGGGAGGACTCTTGGCCGCCCACAACAGCCTGCAGGCGCCAGTTGTGCAGTTAGCTTTCCAGACATCCGAGAAGCGGGCCGTCTAGACCGTACATGGAAGCCTTGTGCAGCAGGCCAGCATGGCTGACTTTATCAAAGGCGCCTGCTATATCTATCGCCAAAACATGGGCGGCTCCTCCAAGGCCGGCTGCTCTGGACCATTCACAGTGGAGCTTGGTTAAGACGTCAGCTGTGCTCAGGCCCTTTCTGAACCCGAACTGTTTCGCAGAGATGACATTGTGGGACTCCAGGAAACTGGTTATCTGACGATTGACAATTGTTTCCATCACTTTGGATATTATAGACAGCAGAGACACAGGTCTGTAGTGTTGGGGCAGGTTCTTGGATTTCTTCTTGTGAAAGGGTGTGATTCTAGCTGTTCCAGGATGTCGGCATAACCATGCTGTAGAAGCCAAGGGAGAACAATTTGGAGAGTGGCTTACTTAGGGGGTCAGCACACATCTTCAGAACTCGCGCGGGAATGCAATCCGGTCCAGTAGCTTTCGATGCATTTAAGCGCCGGAGTTCTCTCTTGACAGTGGCAGGGCGGAACCAAACCGTTGAGAGCTTTTCAGCCGTGCCCTAAACAACGGGGGGGGGGGATCAATCGCAGATTGGTTGGCGGGGAAGTCGTCAGCGCCCAGGCTGCACTTCGAGGCGAAAAACTGCCCAAAACACTCAGGTTTTTTGGCATTCGACACACATTCCAAACCAGGCAGCGGCATGAGAGTTGGGATGGAGGTGTCTCTGCTGCTGCTGCCCCCCCCCCCCCACTTGTTTGATGGTAGACCAGCATGAACGGTCACTCAGGCTAGCTTTTTAGAACTTAGTACTTTGATGGCATCGGTGCACTCAGGGGTCCACCAAGCTGGATCCATCCGCCGGGATGTGAGTTGCCGGGATGGGATGAAACGTGACATGCCCTGGAAGATAACTTCGGTGATGTTAGCACACGACTCATCAGCGCTGGTGGTGAAGGCAGTTGACCAGTCATATGCTAGGAAAACGTGATAGAGGCGGTTCCAGTCTGCTTGGTTGTACCGCCAGACAGTACGTGTGGTTTTAGTGTTCACGGAACGCAAAGATAGGGAAGTCCATGGTGAGGTCAGCATGGTCAGAGGACCCCAGTGGGGCATGGCATTTCACCTGAACCGGTTCGCCGAAGTCAGACATCACAAGGTCCAGAATGTTGTCACCACGTTTGGGGATGTTGACATGTTGCTCCAGGCCATGAGCATAGCAGAGTTCCTCGGCTGCTTCCCCTGCCGAGGTAGTCTTGGTACTCCCTAGCCATGCTGCATTGTGGACATTGAAGTCCCTTGCGAGGATAACATAATCACCATGGCTGCGGGCCTCATCTAGGTGGGTATCAAGGTATTCAATCCGCTCGGTGCCTGTCCCGGCTGTGGAGCCTGATCGGTAGAGTGCACAGATAACAATCTTGCACCAGCTAGCTGGTGATACAGATATCCATATAATTTCGTGATGTTCCGTGCTGACATGCATCAGGCCACCCTCTCCTTGCTGCATCGTCCCTGTATGCTGTACAGGAACTGTTCTGCCACAACATGCTCTGCTTAGTGTGGCGCTGTGTCCATGGCACTGCATCTGTCCTGCTGCAACGATTGTTTCGGCCGGCAAGGTCGCAATTCCGGTGCCAGCAGTCCATGGGACGGATCATGCCTCTCTCACACAGCCATGCTGGGGCAGAGCGTTGCTCTTCCAGTGGTGCTTCTAGCTGGAATGCCCTGCCAACGGCAATGTGGATGATATCTGTGTACCATAAATTTCACGTGGACTGTACTCCCCACACCCTAGCATGATCTCTTTGTCTCCCAGACTGCCTGTCTTTCTGCTTACCAGCATGTCACTGTCTTTGTCCATCTCCCTCATTCCATCTCTGTCTATCACCCTCATTCCGTCTTGTTCTATCTCTCTCTTCCTCTCTCTCTCTCTCTCTCTCTCTCTCTCTCTCTCTCTCTCTCTCTCTCTCTCTCTCTCTCTCTTCTCTCTCTCTCTCTCCTCTCTCTCTCTCTCTCTCTCTCTCTCTCTCTCTCTCTCTCTCTCTCTCTCTCTCTCTCTCTCTCTCTCTCTCTCTCTCTCTCTCTCTCTCTCTCTCTCTCTCTCTCTCTCTCTCTCTCTCTCTCTGTCTCTCTGTCTCTCTGTCTCTCTGTCTCTCTCTGTCTCTCTCTGTCTCTGTCTCTCTCTGTCTCTGTCTCTCTCTGTCTCTCTCTGTCTCTCTCTCTCTGTCTCTCTCTCTCTCTGTCTCTCTCTCTCTCGTCATTATTTTTTGGCCTTAGAGAGGTATTATTACTAGTATGATCATAGTTTGTCTGTGAAGTGTGTGGGTAGAGCCAGGGCTGCACCCCATCAGCCTAAGTACTTTCACGGGAAGCGTGAGTTTCCAAGTTTGAAGAATATTTTGAACGGCTTCTGCTGGGAAGACAGCTACACATTAGCGCAGTGGTTAGAGCATCTTCTCTGCTTCAAGTCCTGGTGGTGACAGTCAATCTTTTCTTCAGACTTTTCCCTTTTCCATTCTCTCAACCTAGCAATATTCAGTACTTTGGGCTACCCGCATACTAGTTTGTGGGTGAAGTGTGTGGGTACAGTGAGGGCTGCATCCCACCATCCTGTGTAGTGCCACAGGATTTAGATCTCGATTTGTGCGATTGAAGCATGATATGTTTGTGTCCTGAAACTGGCCGTGCGCCGACCACTCGTGACATTGCAGATCGACGAATTTTATCAAGTTGATCGACGATCACGGACAGAATCAAAATCTCTACGACGAAGGCTGATCAGCAACTTGATTTTTGCGTGCATATACCCGAGTTGCCGGAGTTTGCAGCATTCAGCGAGGTGTGGGTTTTCCTCATGTTCGGCGAGGAGCGAGCGTAAGTCTGCTTGTCGTAACTTTCTTGTCGAGCAACTATTAGTCTCCACAAGGACGACAATTTAATCAGTGACAATGCAGGGCTGGTTGACCACGCAGCGTTTGGTCTCAGCGCGACTCCATCGACCTGGCAAGGAGAATATTTTGAAATTCAGCTCGTAATGAAAATTCATTTTCCAGGACTCGAATGACTATGCTCAAAACACCAATAAGGTGTTGAGTTTATCACGTTATCTGGTTGCAGGAATATAGATCAGGTTGGAATGGAGACATTATGTCGATAGATAATCAACAGTATTCTCTTTGTCGAGCTATGTCGCTCCGGTAATAGATGTTATCCATTCGTGCAGCACAAAATTACTGTTGGCATCCTCAAAAAATGCTCGAAACACGTGACCGACTTACCAGAAATAGCCGTGGATGCATTTCCGTGCCCAACAGGTTTATCTCTCCGGAGTACACCTGAAAAGCACTTGCTCAAACCTGTCGTGACTACGTGGTCGAAATGTCAAATGAGCTGCCTGAAAAACAGGTTGCAGCTAACCCCATATCGTGAAGTCCAGGGCATCATGCCTCTTCATGGTTCACTCGAGCAGCCTGACATCACACAGCATACCACTGCGTAAAAATCATATTGTGGATCAACCTGATCGTCCAGATTGTGGTTCTGATCTTGATTATCAATCCACTCGATCAAGTCCGTCGATCTGCAAGATTGTATGTTACGCAGTGGTCGGCGCACGGCCAGTTTCAGGATGCAAAAATATCGTGCTTCGATCGCACAAATCGAGATTTGTTCAATATTTTTTGCACTTCTGCAAAGCTTAGCTGCTAGTGGAATTCGAATCGTTCAGGGAAGGAAATGCTTGTTGTTTGGAGTGACAAGGATTGTCAGTTCAAATTTCTTGTCAAACTCGGTAGAGGAGACCACGCTGCAGTGTTTGGCGTGCTGGCGTCTGGAGCGGGGCCTGGTGTGGAGCTTCAGGAGGCGTTTTCCGTCGTCGGGTAGGAAATTTGGCAATGTTGCAATGCGGTGAAGTGAAACTATTCAAATTTGTTTATTTCCAGAAAATATGGAACAATTTATCGAGACATGTCCTGGATGGTAGTGGAGATAGTCCACTGTCCTGCAGTGCATGGTTCAGGGAAATAGATACAATAACTGGTTCCCGCTATGGCCATGGAAAGTTGGCTATTGTAGCGATTCAATTTGGTGAAATTTGGAGATGTTGGTCATTGTTTTCCTGGACGTAGCCATGGCTCTATGTGGTGGTAATGTCAACACTACTCAGGTGAGGTAAGGTTGGCATGATGGTGGTTTGTTCTTAGCTCCATGTGTACGCTGTACCAGGGCTCGTTGTTGGACCCAAAATTCAGTCGTATTTTGGGCCCATTTCGAGGTGGTCCCCAGTCCTAAGGTGTCGGTAAGTTATCCAATGAGCCCTTTCGTATGGTTTTTGTACACCCCAAAGCCGAAACCTACTTGCAAAATTTGAGCGAAATCGGAGAGATGGCCCAGCCCAGCTTTTCTGGTTTTCTCAGACTCGGAGAGCAATCATCTCTCTAGTTCTCTCTCTATCTCCCCTTCTCTCTCTTGCATTTCCCATATCATATAATCAGAATTCTTCTGATCACTTACTGTCTGCTCCAGAGGATGTGTGAAGAACATATCCGTCGCCTGGCCTGGTGGACGAAATAGACGTACTTTTTGTACACCATTGGTACCGTAAAAAACTATCAAGCGCAAATCACCAAGTGTTCCCTGATTCAGAAGGGTTATGTTGATCTCAGCATTTGCCAGATTACGAACTTCACCTTGCACAATTGGCCCGGGGAAGAAATATTCGACCAAACCAGGACTGCTCTGCAGCCTCACCTGCAATCCATTGACCCCTATCCTGGTAAAATTGCTTGCACAGTTGCGCGTGTTGGTGTTGAACTCATTTAGGAGCTTGACCACAGTTCTTGTAACGTCGGTATAGGCGAACACCGAAAATGCAACCCAATAACTGGCATGTGCACTGATTCCAGATGCAGGCGTTGACTGGAGCAGAATGACTTGCTTGCATTGAGTACAGATTGAAGCTGGAGCTTCATGCATACATGCATGAACAGGAAGAACACAAACACACAACACATGTATACATACGTACATACTCAATCTGTGGACATATTATATATATATTTTTAAATAGAGAGGTAGGCGAACAAAATTTATATACACACAACAACAAGGTTGTCAGTTTCATAATACCAAAAGCTTTTCACCCATTTTCATCAGTGGTTACATGGGAATGAGCAAGAACGAAAACAAAGCCAGAATTTATACTGGGGGTAGAGAATCAGCAAGAATATTCTTACGTGCCTCAAGTTCACACTACACTACCATAAGAATGTATGGAGCAGTGGAAAAATGCGGGAAACAACACATGAGGGGAATGCAGTACCAGAACAAACACGTGATAAAGTTGTCAGTCCGGTTGCAGCTTGAACAGCCGTAGCACCTTCATGTGCTTCTTTTGTCGACACGGTTCAGGCCTCAAACTGCGAATGTACAGCGCCTCCAGTGTGAATCGGAACAGCGCGCACCGATTCACACTGGAGGCGCTGTACATTCGCAGTTTGAGGCCAGAACTGTGTCGACAAAAGAAGCACGTCCAGGTGCTACGGCTGTTCAAGCTGCAACCGGACTGACAACTTTATCACGTGTTTGTTCTGGTACTGCATTCCCCTCATGTGTTGTTTCCCGCATTTTTCCACTGCTCCATACATTCTTATGGTAGTGTAGTGTGAACTTGAGGCACGTAAGAATATTCTTGCTGATTCTCTACCCCCAGTATAAATTCTGGCTTCGTTTTCGTTCTTGCTCATTCCCATGTAACCACTGATGAAAATGGGTGAAAAGCTTTTGGTATTATGAAACTGACAACCTTGTTGTTGTGTGTATATATATATATATATATACACACAACAACAAGGTTGTCAGTTTCATAAATATATATACAAATATACAAATATATACAAATATATACAAATATATACAAATATATACAAATATACAAATATATATACACATTCTTGACCGATTCAAGAATGACCTGCCCTGCCGACTCATTAACCCGGCAAAATCGGAACTGGGTGTCATTAGCAAAGCGATTCTCGACCGCATGGTGACCGCTGTACGTGTGGCAACGGAAATCAACCTCTGGAGAAGCACCGGATCTGTCATCGACTGGTTCAAAGGAATAGACGACAAGAGCAGACACACATTTGTTTGTTTCGATGTTGTCCAGTATTATCCGTCAATCGGCGAAACGCTCCTCAAAAAAGCCCTCGACTTTGCAGAAACGTACACTGTCATCACAGATGAAGAAAGAAACATTGTCATGCATGCAAGAAAGTCCGTGATATTCAAGGACGGCCAAGCATGGATCAAGAAGGGCAACGGATCCATGTTTGATGTCACGATGGGATCGTTTGATGGTGCAGAGGTGTGCGAACTGGTCGGAGCCTACCTGCTGAACCAGCTCGCAGAGCACATCCCCAAAGGACAAATCGGCCTCTACCGTGATGACGGCTTAGCCATCATAAAGAACGCATCCGGTGGTACCGCAGAGCGACTTCGGAAGAAACTGACGGCAGTCTTCACGGCAAACGGACTCCGTGTCACCATCGACTCCAACCTCAAGGTGGTAGATTTCCTTGACGTCACGTTCAACTTAGCCACGGGAGCTTACCTACCACACCGGAAGCCAGGCGACACACCAAGATACATCCATACCCACTCAAACCACCCACCGAATATACTAAAACAGCTTCCGGCGGCTATCAGCAGACGTGTCTCTACCAACGCATCAGACATCGACGCATTCAACCAAGCAGCCCCCATGTACAATGCAGCACTCTCAGCCAGTGGATATACAGAAAAAATCCAGTACACTGAACCAACGGAGCAAAACAAAGAAGAAAGGAAAAAGCGAAACAGAAAACGAAAGATCATATGGTTCAACCCTCCCTTCAGCCGAAACGTGAAAACGAACGTCGCCGCCGGATTCCTGAGGCTCATTGACCGGCATTTCAGAAACAGCGAGCTAAAAAAGATATTCAATCACAACAACGTCAAAGTTAGCTACTCCTGCCTCCCCAACGTCGCAGCCAAAATCAGCAGCCACAACAAACAACACCTCACGGAAAAAAGCCCAGAAAAACCATGTAACTGCAGGAAAAAAACGGAATGTCCGCTGGATGGCCACTGCCAAGCCACACAAATCGTCTATGAAGCCACCGTAGCCTGCCAGGAGGAACAAAAGGTGTACATCGGCTCGGCAGACACAACATTCAAGCTCCGGTACAACAATCACACTATGTCTTTCCGACACGAGAAACACCGAAAAAAGACCGCACTGTCGGAACACCTGTGGCAGAAGAAGGAAAACAAGGAAGAGTACCACCTTACCTGGCAGATAAAAGACAGGACCAGCTCCTACAACCCTGCAACAAAAAGATGCAAACTCTGCACAACTGAAAAGGCCAGAATCCTAATTGCTGATAAGACCCTGGCACTGAACAAGAGGAGCGAAGTCGTCGCAAAGTGCAGGCACGCAAACAAGTTCCGACTCGTGAACTTCCAAGGAGTCACCTAGAATGACCAATACGCCAAATGCAACGCCCTGCCTACGTATGAGCATCGCGTGAACAGCCTGCACACTCTGCCAATTCATACACCATACCCAACACCATATCCAACACATGCACACAGTACAAGTACAGAGCCCTAAACATTGCCACCTGAAGCCTGCTTTTTTAGCACGGAATATTCTCACCCCTAACTTAGTGCCTTCTTTCGCGCTTGCTGTGTGACTGGGCATATAACCTGTAGTGATCTAGTTGCCCTGTATCAGTTTGTTTCTATTGCCTGATGATTGATTCATTTCATGAAACTCAGAGTTGCAAAGAACGATGATGTATCTCTGGTGAGGACCTGATCGTGCAGTATATATATATATATATATTGGGGGTAGAGAATCAGCAAGAATATTCTTACGCGCCTCAAGTTCACACTACACTACCATAAGAATGTATGGAGCAGTGGAAAAAAGCTGTACAAGAAGCCGCCTGACAAACGTGTGGCAACAAGTGATAGCGCCATCACAAAGCATTTGCAGGCGCAGCCTGAATGCATCCCACAGGAACGCAACAACAGCTTCAGTGTGATCACACCAGCCCGAAACAGCGCGCACCGATTCACACTGGAGGCGCTGTACATTCGCAGTTTGAGGCCAGAACTGTGTCGACAAAAGAAGCACATCAAGGTGCTACGGCTGTTCAAGCTGCAACCGGACTGACAACTTTATCACGTGTTTGTTCTGGTACTGCATTCCCCTCATGTGTTGTTTCCCGCATTTTTCCACTGCTCCATACATTCTTATGGTAGTGTAGTGTGAACTTGAGTGTGAACTTGAGGCGCGTAAGAATATATATATATATATATATATACTCAATCTATATATATACTCAATCTGCGGACAGCATGCTGTTTCGTATATATAGAACAATAGAAGTATTTCTTGCGTCGGCAAAAAAGTGCTCAATGTCCTAAGACAGAGCGGGGTTATACACTCAGACACAAAGGATCTCCAAGTTTCTCAGTGTTGCTACTCTGAGTTTCGTGCAAAAGCACTCTTCAGGCAACTTACTCTTCTCTCACATCAGTATCCCTTCACATACCAGAAAAGACGAAAAGAAGCACCCTAGGTGGGAATCACAGGTGGAGAAAAGAAGCACGCTAGCCAGTCTAGGTGGGAATCACAGGTGAAGATAAGTGTGGCAAGTGTGATGGTGTCAGCAATCGTGCAGGCCGGGTGGTGTGCATAAAGTGAAGTGTGGCAGTAGGATGCATGCACATTAGATAGCAGGAGTTCTGTATATGTGTAACAGATAGCAAGCGCAGTCTACAGTTCAGGTCACCTCCGATAGGAGGTACTTGGTGCTGTGGCGACATTTTGTGACCAGGCTGCATCTGGTATTGAGGAGCGATGCCTTGTCACTCTTCATTATGGCGATCTTCTCCGATAGGCATAGGTTGCACCGCTTCGAGGTTCTTTTGTAGGCGCTGGATCTCTGCCTGATTCTCCACGAGATGTTGACGTCTTCACCTGCCTCCTTCAATGCCCATGCATGCTTTGACAATTCTGTGCTGTTTCTGTGTGGGGCATTCCGGAACGATGACGTGTGATTGTTGAACCGGAGTTTGAACGGGATTTCGGAGATGCCGATATACTTCTTCCGGCTGATATTGGAGTCCACTGTAGCTTCGTACACTATCTCGCTGGCGTTGCAGTCCCCGTTGAGTGGGCAGTTTGCTTTGATACGGCAGTTACATCTCTTTTCTTCCGGCTGTCTGAGGACTTTCGCGTTGTGGCCCTTGATTATCGAGGCTAAGTTAGGCGAACAGCTGTAGCTGACTTTGAGCGTGTTTTTGTTAAATATTTTTCTGAGGGCAGATCCTTCTGGGAAATGGCGCTTGACAAGTCTCAGGAATGTCGCGCCAACATCAGTCTTCACGGATTGGCTGTATGGTGGGTTAAACCAAATGATGGTCCTCTTCCGATTCTTTTTCCTCCTGGCTTGTCCTTCCGTGTTCGTCGGTTCCTCGTTATAGACGAGTGCGTAGTTGAAGCCACTTTTTGAGAGAGCTGCAGCGTACGTGGGGGCAGCCTCTTCAAAGACTTCTTGATTGGCAGAGACGCTCGTTAGGCGCTTGTTGATGGACTGCGGCAGGTTTTTGATTACTATTGGAGGATGGTTAGACTCACGGTTGAGGTAGAGGGGCGTGTCCCCGGGCTTGCGGTATGGCTTGTAGGTGCCTGTTTCGAGGTTTAGAGTGACGTCTACGAAGTCGGTTACTTTTTTGTTGACGTCGATTGTTATCTTGAGGCCGAGTGATTGGAACATACCGATGATGTTCTTCCGTATCTTGTCTGCTCTCCAACCCGGCACTCTCCTTAGGGTGGCTAGGCCATCATCACGGTATAATCCGATTGATGGCTTGTCGATGTAGCTTGCCAGCTTGTTCAGGAGTAATGCGCCTA